AAATCGTCTATTGGTTTTCTATAAGTCCTGTTGAAGATTTTTTAAATTCAGAAACTTAGAATCAGTATGAAAATAATTGTTCAAATTAATATATCTGCAAAACTTTGACAAAATAATACCCTTCTTGATTATACCATCAATAGACTATCTAAACACATAACCACCCTACCTAACTACCTACCTACCTACCCACTTACATACCTACTTACCTACCTACCTACCTACCCACCCACCTACTTACATACCAAACCACCTACCCACCCACCTACTTACCTACCTACCCACGCACCCACTGCCCTTCCATTTTGCCATCTAAACTGTTCCATGGTCTTCATTGCATTGCTATGGCAATTTAAAAAATGCTCTGTTCTAAAGCTTACGTGAGTCGAGTGAACGTTTGAATATACGGACGTGTGGTAAAATGGTGTTTGTGATGTGACGTTTGTTAATGTGTGAGAGTCTTTGTTGTTAAATATTTGTGTATTCATGTGTTGTGCAGGCCAGTTTGTGTGCTTGCATCATTTCGCGTTTTGTGTTTGTTTGTGGGACATTGTTTTGGAATCCTGCTACGAAGATATCATGTAAAAACTACCGATGCTCCTATCAGTGGCGGGTCTAGGGAGGGGGTGAACGGGAATGCCTTCACCCACACCGCCAGATCATAAAGAAGAAATTATTTCCATATTTTTAGTATATTTTTGCGTCATAATTCAAATTATTTCAAATTAAACAGGAAAATTTCAAACGATAAACTACAATTTTTAAGAAATAATTGAGAACTAAGCTACAACAAGTTCGTCAACGTGAATTCTGTTAGAAAATCATGCACCCTACCGACAAATACTGGATTTGCCACTGGCTCATTTTGTATTTCGTTTATTGATATGTCTTGCATCTTTGAAATTAATGAAATAATTTGATGGGAACTAATTTTGTGACATTTATAACTTGTCTTAGATCTTACGTTCTCTCTCAACTTTCAATTTGTATTTTCATTCATGCTGAAGGTATATCTTTTAAATGTTAACGTACATGCACACACATATATTTACACACACACGCACGCACACACGCACGCACACACACACCAAACACACACAGGCGCACACGCACACACACATTTGTTTTATACTGTAGTAGTAAGAGTAGAAAATTGAGAAACGCAAAACATACGTTACCGCGCCGAAGAAATGAGAAGACTGCCAACTTCACTTTGCTGGCACATTCATTCTGCGCTGCGTGCAAGACTAATACGGCACGTCAATGAACAAACACACGAGGAAGAAGAATGTCTACAATTTCTCTTTGGAGGGAATTTTTGGAGTTTTTACTTATTGATCACCTCACTTTTATCGATCACCTCACTAACTCACTAAGTCATCATTTAGTCTATTAATAAGTCACCAAATATATTAATAATCATTAAACTTTTTCACACACAGGCCTAGCCTTTATCTATCGATCACCTGACTAACCCACTAAGTCATCATCTAGTCTATCAATGTGCCGTTACTTCATTTTATATTCCATCGTCAATTACTTTTCTTTTATTTGTCTTATTATTATTTATTTTATTCTAACATATTTTATTTTCATGTTTTATCATTTCTCTTCCTCACTTTTTATATTTATTTTCTCACTTATTTGTTTAATTTTGTTTCAATGCCTTGCATGTTGTTACAGTTTCTGCGTCTGTCAGATCCTGATTTTTAAAGAATAATAAAAAAAAAAAAAAAAAAAATTCGATGCTGAAAATTGCGGCATCATTAAATAAATAACTTGTAGAAGAAGTGCTTCAAAGATGAGGACATTGCTATTATTATTACTATTATTATAATAACATTATCTATTATTTCAATTGCATAAACACAGTCTTTCACACTCACACATGTTTTCACATCTTCAATTACTACTAATTCTACTACTACTACTACTCTTACTACTATTACTAATACTACTACTACTATTACTATTACTACTACTACAACTACTACTACTACTACTACTATTACTACTACTATTACTACTACTACTACTACTCTTACTACTATTACTAATACTACTACTACTACTACTACTACTACTACTACTACCACCACGGCAACTCAACAACAGCAACAACAACAGCAGCAAAAAAGACAGCAACTAAAACATTGACATCAACTTAATTGAAACAACTAATTTGTTCCTTACTTGTCATGCTGGATTAGATCACTGGATTGGATGCAGACATTTAAAATTCTTTCAAATTCAAGCCATCTCACATGAGCGTACTTGCGTGGCTAAGGTGTGTGTGTGCGTGCATGTGTGCGTGCGTGTGTGCGTGCGTGTGCGTGTGTGTGTCCGTGTACTTGCACACCCTCACACATGCAAGAAATTTTTCTTGTCCTTCAAAACTTTCATATCTACATCTAGTTAAACGAGGCATAAGCTAGGAAGCACATTGTACATTATATTTCCATGCCATTAGCATTGATATCTCCAACATCACTCCCATTCTATC